CAATTCATCTACCACCTTCCTAACAAGAACGGCCACCTTTCATACAGGTACGACTACTTTTTTCCGATAGACCCATGATCTTGTTAACTTCCCGCACTGTGTAACAGTTACAATTATATGTCCTTGTACTTGAATTGCTCTTTTTTTACGTGGATTTTAAAATGTTGCTTCCCATGGCAAGAGGTTCATTATTGACACAGTAAATATAGATGGTTGATATGGAATTCCAAATTGCCACTTTCTTTTCCCCCAATGCCACGTTCTTTTCCCCCAATGCCACGTTCTTGCTCCCCAATGCCACGTTCTTTTCCCCCAATGCCACGTTCTTGCTCCCCAATGCCACGTTCTTGCTCCCCAATGCCACGTTCTTGCTCCCCAATGCCACGTTCTTTTCCCCCAATACCACCTTCTTGCTCCCCAATGCCACGTTCTTGCTCCCCAATGCCACGTTCTTGCTCCCCAATGCCACGTTCTTGCTCCCCAATGCCACGTTCTTTTCCCTAATGCCACGTTCTTGCTCCCCAATGCCACGTTCTTGCTCCCCAATGCCACGTTCTTTTCCCCCAATGCCACATTCTTTTCCCCCAATGCCACGTTCTTGCTCCCCAATGCCACGTTCTTGCTCCCCAATGCCACGTTCTTTTCCCCCAATGCCACGTTCTTTTCCCCCAATGCCACGTTCTTGCTCCCCAATGCCACGTTCTTTTCCCCGCAATGCCACGTTCTTTTCACCCAATGCCACGTTCTTGCTCCCCAATGCCACGTTCTTTTTCCCCAATGCCACGTTCTTGCTCCCCTATGCCACGTTCTTGCTCCCCTATGCCACGTTCTTTTCCCCCAATGCCACGTTCTTGCTCCCCAATGCCACAATCTTTTCCCCCAATGCCACGTTCTTGCTCCCCAATGCCACGTTCTTGCTCCCCAATGCCACGTTCTTGCTCCCCAATGCCACGTTCTTTTCCCCCAATGTCTCGTTCTTGTTCTCCAATGCCACGTTCTTGCTCCCCAATGCCACGTTCTTGCTCCCCAATGTCATGTTCTTGTTCTCCAATGCCATGTTCTTGCTCCCCAATGCCACGTTCTTGCTCCCCAATGCCACGTTCTTGCTCCCCAATGCCACGTTCTTGCTCCCCAATGCCACGTTCTTGCTCCCCAATGCCACGTTCTTACTCCCCAATGCCACGTTCTTTTCCCCCAATGCCACGTTCTTGTTCCCCAATGCCACGTTCTTTTCCCCCAATGCCACGTTCTTGTTCCCCAATGCCACGTTCTTGCTCCCCAATGCCACGTTCTTTCCCCCCAATGCCATGTTCTTGCTCCCCAATGCCACGTTCTTTTCCCCCAATGCCATGTTCTTGTTCCCCAATGCCACTTCCTTGTTTCCCACTTCCGTGTTCCACAATGGCAATGCCACTTGTCTCCTCCTTTTTCCATATGTACACATGATGTGGCTTCCTTGTTCTGTAATGCCACTTGTCTACTCTTTATTCCACAAATACACATTACATCTCCACATTATTCACAATTACATATATACACATGATGTGGCATCCTTGTTCTGCAATGCCACTTGTCTCCTCCTTTTCCGTACGTTCACATGATGTGAATTCCTTAATTGTTCTTTAATGCCGCTTGTCTACTCCTTTTTCCAGAAACACAATTTACATCCCCACATCTTTCACAATTATACATGTCCACATGATGTGGCTTCCTTGTTCCACAATGCCACTTGTCTTCCTCTTTTCCATATGTACATATGATGTGGCTACTCTGTTCTACAATGCCGTTCGTCTTCTCTTTTTTCCACAAACACACATTACATGCATCCCCACATTATTCACAATTATACATATACAAATGATGTGGCTAAAAAAATGCCATTACATGTTGCAAAGTACTACATTAATCTTCAAGGTTCTCAGTTCTAAAGATAAAATTAGTAACAGTTCAGATTCCAGATTCTTATCATAAAATGAATGGTACTGAAATGTGGTGTTGAAGCGAGTGAGCTTAATACATTAAGTAACACTTGCTACTCCATTTTTGGGGCAGCACAGACAGACATCTAGTTTTATCATATCAAATCTATTAAAGAAATCAGTGAGCAAAAATTAGAATCATGCCCTTAAATTATTCAATCTGGCTTATATATTCTGCATTTAGGGCATTGATGTAGCTATGATAGTTTGCAGAGTTGGCCGTTATAATACTGATCAAATTAATAATTAATAGATGCAGTCATCTTGGATCAATGTAATTTGTCATGAATGTATTAACTGTTTAGAAAGCGAATTGTGGAACACAGTTCACTAATACAATTCACTATGAATGATAACACCTGTGCTGTCCACTACAAATATCTAACTTGATTTAACTTTCTGGCAGCACAGACAGAAACCCTTATATCTTAATATATCAAAAACCATAACAAAAATCAGTGTGCAAAAATTAAAATGACGCCCATAACCTATTCAATCTGGTCCATATATTCTGCATTTAGGGCATTGATGTAACTATGATCACTTGCAATAGTTGGCTGTTAATACTGAACAAATTAATGGATACAATCATCTTGGATCAACATAATTTTTGAGGAATGTATTAACCTGTTTAGAAAGTGAGTAGTGGAACACAGTTACTCTTTTAAAACAAAATTATGACATCTGTGCTGTACACAACAAATATCTAACTTCATGTATCTGTCTGACAGTACAGACAGAAAGCCAGTTTTATCATTTTATCATTTCAAAATTTGTGGAAAAACTAGTATGCAAAATTTATAATGACACCCACAACCTTTTCAATCTGGTCCATATGTTCTGCATGTAGGGCATTGATGTAACTATCATCATTTACAGAGCTAGCTGGTAATACAGATCAAATTGATGGATACAATCATCTTGGATCAATGTTATTTCTTATGAATGTATAAAACTGTTTAGAAATTGGAACAAAGTTCACTCCAAAATAAAATTATAAGACCTGCCCTGTCCACAACAAATATCTTACTTTAAATTGTCAATCATGCCATTTCAAAACCTCATTTATTCTTGTCTAATTATAAAATAAACATTAAATGATTTATTACACTGACAACTAAACCAATTAAAACAATCATCAGCGATAAGCTGGAGTTGGTTAATATTCCTGGCACAGAAAATTTCCCAAAAGGCAAATAAAAGGATGTTATTGTTTCAAAGGATAATGTAAAGGGGAAATGTTTTCACTTTAACAATGCACAGATATTATAGATATACTGCTACAAATCCTAGCATCAAAACCAAGTATGATCATCTAATAGAAACATAGTAACAATGCTACAGGGGGGGGGGGGCGTATCTGACCTGGTAAATGTTAAATCATATCTTTTTACCTTTTACTTTTGCTGACTAGACGATTCTAAGTTAAGACAAGTACTGGTCTAGAACTTCCAGAATACTAATAAGGTTGTTTTACTTTGCAAAAATTACTAAACTAAACTAGGCTATGGAAAGTTATGGCCTAGAGATTCCAGAATTAATACCATCACCTGCATTTGATAACGATTTTCTGGAGTTCAAAGATATTGTCGCTAAAGAAAATGTCCTAGGATGGATGAAGTAGAGGAGGAGGTCAACTTGATGACTTATCCAATTGACACTGTCTTTATTGTTGTGCACTCACACTTTTTGCAGTCTTCAAAGCTAGTCCTACTCCCATTCCCTGAAATCAGGGTCTCTTTGCCTTCCAGAAAAACTTTCCAGGTCAATAACAGTATGCTACAGGCTGCAGGCCATTACTTATTTTTACCTAGACTAGTTGTCCATTTTCAGAGGGGTTCCAAATTTAAGACATGGATTAGTATGTGTGCATTAGGGACAGTTTAGCAGTGGCCTGTCATTTGCTTCTGGAGGGGCAATGATTGTGCTCCAGAGTTGTGTCACATTTGCAATGTAAACTAGGATAAGCTAGGGGTAAAACTTATTCATTGAACAAGATGCACACTGCAGTGACTACATCATTACTAATGGATCAACGTATTGAACAGTTATTCTATCATGGGTAAAGTTGACACAATATTGGATTAGGTGTAGTGCCTTTAACTAAATGATCTAGTATTGGACTAGTCTATCATGCCTTCCTAGTCCCATTCCCTGAAATCAGGGTCTTTTTGCCTTCCAGAAAAACTTTCCAGGCCAATAACAATATGCTACGGGCTGCAGACCATTACTTATTTTAGCAAGATGCACACTGCAGTGACATTTACAGTAACTACATCATTACTAATGGATCAACGTAGTGAACAATCGTACTGTAATGGGTAAAGTTGTCACAACTTTGAATTAGGTGTTGTGCCTTTAATAGCTAATTTCTATCTTGCCTTCAGAGAGATATGGGATGAGCTTTTTGCGGTCGTTGATGCTAATCCTACTCCCATTCCCTGAAATCAGGGTCTCTTTGCCTTCCAGAAAAACATTCCAGGCCAATAACAATATGCTAAGGGAGCAGACCATTACTTTTTGTTTTACCTAGACTAGTTGTCAATGTTCAGAGGGGTTCCAAATTTGAGACATGGATTAGTATGTGTCACAGTGTGCAGTAGGGACACTTTTAGCAGTGGTCTTTTTAATAATTTGCTTCTTGTGGGGCAATGATTTTGCTAGATAATGTGAATTGGTAGCTATTCTGAAACATTTCTTTTGTACTTTAAATAGTGAGTCTAATTTAGTTTGTGTTGCATTGGTAGCCCATACAATATTACAATATTTCAAATGAGGGTAAATATGGAATGATATAAAGTTTCAAATTGTTAGGTAACAAACTATATTTTAGCTTATAAGTTTATTATTAATATAAACGGGAATATAACTGTTATTAATTAGAGGGCCATTATTGCTAGCTATATCGGAAATGTTAGATCCTATATTAGATTTATTTTTTTCGAAAATAAACACATTTAGTTCTGTCAATATTCAGGGACAATTTATTTGCTTGTAACCAGTCAGATATATTCTAAAACTCATCATTTAGAACACGGACAGTGTTATTCAAATCTACAAATGTACAGATGATAAAAAGAAGGAATCAAGAACACATCTAACGTGTAACGATTTTCATTTTCTAAAACATGACTCCATGTGTATATGGATGTCGTCAAATTCTATTCCTCTCTATTTTGGACCTGAACAGGTGATTGTTCTCTAGCATTTTGGCTGTACCACTAAATCCATAGTATTTTGCCAAAAGCAAGGTTGCTTTAGTTTGATTGCATCCTTCTGCTTATCACCACACTTACCAGGCTTCTTTTTAAAGGCTTATTTTTGAAGTCTTCTTTTTTACCATGTAGACGACGACATTCTTCATTCTTGAATACTGTACCCGCACTTCATTGTCTATGGCTCTGGACAGGGTAAAATTGGGCTCTACCTCATATACATGTACATTTGTTTCTTTTCTGTCTCTATTCTTACTTAAAATCGGCAGCAACACTAAGTTTGCATAAGTTTGATTGCTCCCTTCTGCTTTTAATATCACCACACTTACCAGAATTTTTCCAAAGCCTTCCTTTCGACCATGTAGATGAACTCCTCACTCTTGAGTGCTTTACCAGCACTTCATTGTCTATGGCTCTGGACAGGGTAAGATTGGGCGATAGCTCATATATATCTATTTCATTTCTATCTCTACTTTTATTTTCTCACACTTTCTTCATCTCTCTCTCTCTCTCTCTCTCTCTTTCTTTTTCTTTCTCATTCGTTCTCTAATACTTCCTTTCCCACTCTTTCTCAGTCTTTCTGTCTCACTCTTTCTCTATCTCTTTCCATTTCCATATCCTACTTAAAGACCAAGCAGTTACTAACCTTTTTTCAGATATTTGGACACTCGAACTCATGTCCTCCTTTTTGTTCTGGTTTTCAAGGTTGTCTCTTCCACAGTGTGATCCATGTGAAGATGATGTTGAAGGAAGCTTTTGTTTGGAATCACTGACAACTCTCATGTAAACTGTTTGACACGTGAATTATGAAGACCCAGGCATCTGGTTTGACACTGGATAGATGAGAAGCAAGTTTCATGGAGTCAGTATGGTAAGATAAGCATGTTATTTAGCATTTTTTGCCTGTCCAAAAGGTTACTCGCAGGAATTAATGTAGAGGTCTTGGAAGTATGTAGAATGCATCACCAAAAATGTCCTGCACATTTTTATATATATTTTGGCCGAGTTTGGGGGTAGGGAAAGCCCAAAATATGAAAATGTATTCTACATATGCCTGCAACACGGTAAGCATACATAGCTTTGTGTCGGTAGGTCTTTACTTTCTCTTCTTTCCCCCTTTACTAACTACCATTCCTTTCTATAACCAGAGGCTTTTTGCAATATTTGCTGGCCACCAATTTAATAGTGAAATAGAATGAGAGCACCGAGTAAGAATAGCTTTGTTTGTTTAATAAGATTTTTTAAACAATCTACATTCATCAACTCTATTGATAATGATAAGACTTGCTTGAGGTGGTTCCACTGTGTGATCGAAGACATCCGCAGTTTTAAAAAACGACCCAATACTCTTGAAGAAATGGGCTTGTATTTCCCTCTTAAGAAAAATATATTTGTCATCTCAAAGCCAGACATGGCATGCTTGAACAGAAGTGAAGGCTATATTATCTACTTCCTTTCACAAGGTATCTCACTGTTACAAAGCAATACAGAACAGCTTGAGATACATGGTCGAAATCAAGGCTAATTATTAATGCAAGTTAACCTCATTGCATCTGTAACCACCAACTAGAAGGGGGCATATGATGTGACTGCAAATTGTCTCTGCATATATTCAAATGGAACACAGAGAGATGAGCTCCAATCTGTTCTCTTTCTATATAAGGACAAGAGTTCAGATACAACTAGATGCTTATCAGAATGTACAAATGCAAAATTGCAAATAAAACTGATATTAACCAACTTTGTGGTAGTCCTATAACGAGTCTGAGGCTTAGAAATGACTATCGAAATATCCAACACAATGATGTGTATTTATTGTGGAATGTCCTAGTAGGTATGAGGCTTACATGACACCAATTATTATCAGCATACACATTGCATAAATTGGATTTGGTCACTATATTAGATTCACTATATTTGATTCACTATCATTGTGAAAGTGCTCAAAAGTTTTGAGGACATTGATGATTGTTAGCATGAACCAAATCAGATGAGATGATTTGTTAAAGTCTTCATGACTATGAGGCTTACAATGTAGATCAAAGATCTAAAGCAGTGACATGTGTAAATGATTATCAGTATGCAGTTCTAATACATTTAAATGTGGTCAGTATGAAACTGATTCACAATTAAGCTTTGCAAAAATCCTCATGAGTCTGAGGCTTGGAAGATACCTGTAATTATCAACAATGTGATGAACCTGGATTCAGTACATTAATATGTGATCAGTACACAGATAGGACTGATTCACTAGCTTTGTGAAACTTGATGCAACTGTAGGTTCACAGACACTTTTGATAGACAGGTGTGGAAGACCAATGCACCTTGATGTGTTCAGAATGCAGATAAACTGACTGACAAGAACATTTATCCCGAGCATAATTTGGTGGTTGTCCCTCCAGCTACTAACCTGTGCATGCTACTCCATTCTATAAGGATTATCTTAATTGGGGAGGCGAGTTGGCTCAGTTAGTAAAGCATCTGCATGTTGAACCAAAGATCTCGGGTTCAAATCCAACCCAGACTGATGACTGAAGCCTGCGTTGTGTGTTAACGTGCCCCTCCCATTGTTTCATTGCCGCAGGCTATGTTCAGTGGAAAACACTCCATGCACATCTGATAGGACGGAGGCTCCGTGTAGAGGAGAGTCACCACCTTTGCACATTAAGAACCCACTGAACTATTTGTATAAGAGTAGGGGGAAACCCAGGTGTAGTGGTCAACCTGCACACCCCCAATCAGTTATACCGGGAGGAGATACCCAGAGGTTACAGTGAATCAATTTGCTTTTCGCCTCCCAGGCACACACAGGCGACGCCAAAATAATAATAAAATTAATAAAAAATAATAAAATAAATAAACAAGTAATATAGCTTGTACTTCACATGTTGATCCTAAAATGTACAGCTGTCGATGAGCACACTTTCCATTTAAAAACAGGGTTGACTTTTCATGAGGGGCCTGCCGATTGTACCAGAGACAAGAAGGATGAGTGTATTAAACATAAGCAAAAGCCTTATATACAGGATATTGCATGAAGGTATTCAATTGCACATCCGCAATGAACACTTTGTACTGACAATACCTCAGTCGCACATATATTATCCTACATGCTTTATGGTCAATTGGAAGTGCAACAGGTCTTTATGAAATGAGTGACAAAGTCAGCTCAGTCAGAAGAGTGTCTGCCTGTCAAACCAATGATCATGGATTCCAATCCAACTCAGGCAGATGACTGAAGCCCTAGTATATTATTATTAGGACCCTCCCTTATTTCCATAGACTCGGCCTATGTAATGATAGAAATTGGAAAAAAGATAGGATATTAAATGAAGGGCACCTGTGCATGTTTACACTCCAATGTACTCTCAATAAAAGAGTAGGAGGAAACAGGATTGTAGTAGTGTTACACCTGCTCATCCTAATATGTTAAACACCTGAGAGGTAAAGTTCTCTTGTACCCTCCTAGGCATATCGTATATCGTATCAGGTCATCCTGTCACATAATTCTCCAGGAGTGGTAGAACACATTATGCCATATCCTTCAGTTCAATCTGTAAGAATGACGAAGCATCATTGAAGAGGTTCATTGAGTCCATTAGGCCAAATGTTGTGACTCTGTATTCAAACATATTTTCTTGTGAGACTCATGGCTTCAAAAGACAGCAGGCTTTTCAGAGGAGTGGGAGTGAAGCTTAGCCGTAGATGTAAGAGTGGCAGTCCTACCGGTCGACATAATGGGAATATGCATAGAAGATAATTCTCTTCAAGGAAAGAAAATGGATTGACATGTTCAGACTACGGTCTAAATAATAAGGTTACTTCCTTTCATCTGAATCTGAAGAATCCAATGGAAAGAACCAAGGGGAGGATGATGCTGCAAGCCAAGGAAAGGAATTCTTTGTGAGCTTACTCAAATAACACCATCAAGGATTCATCTTCTTCACAAGATCTCTGTGTTCTCATCCACGTTTCAAGACCTTTTCAACACATCGCCAAATGAGTTATTCAACAAAGCATAAGAATCTGTAGATACCCCAAGGGAGAGAGAATTAGCAAAATTACAGCATCAACGAATCAGTATGACCAGCAATGACACAAAGCATCAGATCTACCCAGATCAGACCCTCAAGAGAACAGAAGAGCAGATGAATCCCAAGCCACCTCTCAGCAACAACCTACCAATCAGGCCAAGTGGAATTTAAGGTAACCATCCTCACATCCTGTAAGTAGAGAGAATTAGAGGCATGCAATGCAGCCTATCTTCAAGAAGTACAGCCACTTTCAAGCCTCCTTTCTTCAAACCTTGTGGATTAATGATGTGTCCTCAGGATAAGCAGAGTGATGCATCACATTCCTTTTCACCGACTGTAAAAGGAGTCCAGCTAAAGTTTTAGGAAAAGACAGATATTCGACACGAAGCAGAAATGTCAGCAAGATTCAGGAAGACTATACATTGAAAGTTCTCAGTGACCATGTCAAATGGAATAATCACACCATCAATTGGAAGATTAGTCACATCTAGGCAATGGATAACAACCAACTCGCTGGACTAGAGAGGCTAATTACAAACTGAATCAGAATATGACTCGATTCACCACGTCGCACGATCATTATTTTCTATGTATATTCCCATTCGCCCATCTTCTCAGACTGCCATTCTCGCAGCTACATCTATTCATCACCACCAGTCATCTGATAAAGCCTGCCATCACTGTTGTCAAGAGTCTCATTCAACAAAGAAATCTGAACGTGTCACCAGAATTGTTTTAATGATAAAGCATATTGGGAGCCATTGCTTCAAATCATTCTCTTGACATGATAGAGAATTGCATTATCCTTTTACTTCATTCTGTAAGAATGAAGACTTTTAGTCTGTACCCCTCCTATCAGGACCCAGTACTTTCAGAGACCTGAAAGGATTCAACACCAATGCCCGATCATGCATCTTGCATTGGACAGGGCCATCCTTTCTTTTAATTCATTTAGTTCTTTTTCATTCTCAAAGAATGATAAAGCATAATTATTAGGCCATATCCCTTCATTCTCTAAGAATGTGGAGCACATTATGACATCCCATTATTCTCTAAGAATGTGGAGCACATTATGACATCCATTCATTCTCTGAGAATGTAGAGCATATTAGGCCATCCCATTATTTCATTCTAAAGGAATGATAAAACACATTAGGCCATCGCTGTACTTCATTCTCTAACAAAAATATATACGTAGCAATTTATTTCCTTCTTTCATAACGATATAATTAGATAGAGTAATATAGATATAGCGAGCTACCCGAATGGGTGGGGGGGGGGGGGACCTGAAAAGAGACACACACACAGACTAGCTGAGATAGAGAGTTAGGGGGGGGGTAATGAAGGGAGAGGAAGAGAGAAAGATGAGAGATAAAAAGACAGGGAGATATAGAGTTAGGGAGAGGGATATAGAGAGAGATAAGAGAGAGAGTGGGAAAAGAGAGAAGAGAGAGAAGAGAGAAAGGAAAAGAGAGGGGGACAGAGAGATAGGAAAGAGACAGAGGGAGAGAACAGGAGAGAGGAGGGAAGTAGAGAGAGAAGGAGAGAGAGAGAGAGAGAGAGAGATAGCGAGATAGAGGGTTTAAAAGGGAGGGGAGATCGGGAGGGGTTGGGGAGATAGGGTGGGGCAGGGGCTGATCAGGTAAGTACAAATAGCTTCTACAATATTATAGGGATGGGAGCAAACTAATTTTGGTAAATAACAGGCAAATGCTAAAACATGACTCTTATCATATTGGATCTTAGAAACTTGTACCATCTATTCAGTACCTAACCTTTTGTTTGATGAGTCAGAGTAA